AATGATGAAGAAGATCTCAAGGGTCATTGAATCCCGCTGTTAACCCAACACCACCATGCTCAACCACTACACCACTACAAATGCCACATTTACATGTTTTTTAAACATTTCTGGGATGGTGGTTCCATTACTTCCATGAGCACTCTTTCAGTCTTTGACAACACTTCTGGAGAGTAATTTTTTTCTAATATCCAACCTAATCCTCCCCTTGCACTGTCATTTCTTCTTCTCCTGTCACTGGTTGCCAGGGAGAAGAGACTGACCCCCACCTGGGTGTACCCTGCTTTCAGGGGTGACGAGGTCTCCCCTGAGTCTCCTCCAAGCTAAACACACCCAGCTCCCTCAGCTGCTCCTCATACAACTTCTGTTCCAGACCCTTCACCAGGTCCATTGCCCTTCTCTGGACTTGCTCAATCTATTTCTTGTAGTGAGGGGCCCAGAACTGGACACAGCACTCAAGGTGTGGACTCGCCAGTGCTGAGTACAGGGGACAGTCACTGCCCTCGTCCTGCTGGCCACAACATTACTGATACAGGCCAGGATGCTGTTGGCCTTCTTGGCCACTTGGGCTGGGTCATGTTCAAGCACTGTTGACCAGCACCTCCAGGTCCTTTCCTGACAGGCAGCTTTCCAGCCACTCTGCCCCAGCCTGTAGTGCTGTGTGAGGTTGTGACCCAAGGGCGCTTCACCTTGTAGAACCCTCTTGAACCAGCTTTGCCTCCCTACTTCAGAATGGAAATTTGCAGTGTAAGACTACTTATCAAGAGCTAAATGATACTTGAGATTCACATCTGTCATTGCTCCAAGCAAGGACTAGCTCCATGAGCTAACTTTGCTCAAAACAGACTGGTGAAGAGAATTCTCAGCTAATATCAAATTGCACCAACACCTAGCAGAGATGCACAGAATGAAATGGCTTTTTTTTTTTCCCTTGTTCTCAAATGACTAATCTCAAATACCATGTTTTTTTGTTGATGCCCTTTCCCACCAGCCCATGTGGGAAACAGAAGTCACAATTCCCTCCACTCAGACTGTATAGTTTATAGCACATTTGAGAAGAAAATTTCTGCTCCTTCAAGCTTTAGATTTGCTCTTATAACTCAAAGTGGCTTTTTGTTATTCTGTATCTCAGGTTTTTTCAGTTCTGCCTGTTAATTTTAAATTAACACTGTACCGACTATGATTTCATAGCAGCTAAGCCTATATGCAGTTTGGATTTCTAAAAGTATTTGCATAATAATAAAATATATAGGTACTCCCATGCACAATTACCAAACCTTCCTTGATTTCATTGTAAGATAGTTATTTGATCTACTGCGATATTTTTGGAAATCTCCTCCTAAAGCTACCAAGCTTTGCCTGTCAATCTTTGCTGCATATGTGAGCTGAAATGTTTTGGTCCTTTACTTTACACATAGTGATTGAGAAGATGTGCCATAAATAAGTAGAAGAATGGGGGAAAGGCAGTTTTGTGCTCTTGTCTTTTACTCAAATTGAGGTGTTTTTTGATTTTTTTTTTGAAGGGAAAAAACAGGAAAGACATTGACTTAAGTACAATATATCAGTAGCTCTGAGTATAATGGTAGTTTCACTGTTGCCCTGGCTGTGCATTAAGGCCTTCTTTGTACTGAAGGCTGTACATTTAGATTTCATCAGCAAAAGTACTTTCTGGTGCAACTGGTTTGTAGTATTTTCATGCAAATGACACAGAGGATAAAACTGGATCCTAACTATAAGAGCACCAGGCAGATTTAGTGTAGCAAACACTTTGCAAAGAATAATAATGATCAATGACAGGAGTGAGTTGATTCTTCCCACGTTGTGCAACACTTCTATGCAATATTCTTCCTCTTAGCACATTATTTTTTCCCACATTTTGCACTGCTTTTCTGCAACGTTCTTCCTCTTATACGATGCTTTTTTTCCCCCCAATATTTTTCCACTTTCAAAACAAAGACAAGCTACATTGATATATAGTCAAAAGTTCAGTTTAAGGAGATTAAAAGCTCTGAATGCAACTAGGCACACATTTGTTTCACCAAGAAAAAATGCAAACTTCATAATTTTTAAACCAAACCATATTTTTTACTTGGTTTAAAAACCAAATGTCATGGTGGGACTTATAACTTCAATGGTAAAATGAGGCAATATATATAGAGATGTATTTAACCACATGTCTTCATCTTTAAAGCCCAAAAGATAGATAATTTGCAGCATGGTGTGTTTGGGAAATTGCAGCTTGGAAGTTGTCCCAGTTATGGGCTTTCTGCATTCTCAGTTTTGTGATGGCTTGTGTATACACGCATTCGTGATTTTAATAACAGCACAGCTCACTTAATCATAGTTAGCAGGGGTCTGCAAAGAGGCAGAGCTTTTCAAACACTTAAGTCTCATTCAACATGACTTCCAAGGAAGACAGGTGAGGAACTTGAAATACCCAGACTATTGATATGTCAGTTATTATAATTTGTCTAACTGAGCCTTTTTAAACAACTTTTTTATACAGACTCTGCTATGTGGCTTCTGCTGATGGTTTATATCTGGTCAGTTTGCCAACATAGATATGTGCCTGGAGAAAATCCCCTTTTGAAAACAGCTATGAGTTTAATTAGGGAAAGGTTAGTGAGGAATTAGCAACACCCAAAGGAACAAGAAGGCAAACATTTGAATAATTTGTATACATTCTCTCTTTAAGCCATAATTATGGGAGTGTTGTAAGTGCAGAAGGTGAGGCACAAAGAGATAGTAGATCCTGCACAGGTGTGTGCCTGTGGTTTGGACATCACAGCAAACTCTGCAGAAAGTTGCAGTACTTTATAAGTTGGAAAATCTCCAAAAAAGCAATAAATATGTGACTGTAAGTTTGAAATACTTGTTGTAATAAGAATATTTACTTAAATAAAAGAAAGCATGAAGGTATTTACAAACATATGTTTTTTTAGCCCAAGCACTGATGCCATAAAACCTTCATACACCTAGGAAGAAAATAACAGGGTGGTAATTCATAAATGAAGAAGAAATTGAGGCTTGCTGTCACTATTCCTCAGCCTGAGATCATAGGTGCTCTTTATTACCTGCAGAATAAAACTGCAAGATTCATCACAGCACAGTTTCCCAGCTATGAAGGACCACAGATGAAGATCACACAGTTGACTATTCTCAGAGAATCCATCCAGGATTTACAGAACAGCATCGTGAACGACTGCTCTGCTGAGGCACACAGCTAAAAATATTTCTTTCCAGTGAAAGTACCCTTTTCTAATTTTGCACTCTGCAAAAAGCTGCTTCAGTAGAGCAATGCACTCAGAATCTCTCTATTAGCAAAAACCAGTACAATAAAAATTTTAACACCAATGTAGCATTAAGAAACAAGCATTCTTTATTTAGCACCAGACACATGAGGGGATATTTCCTGTGAAATACCATGCATACTGAGTACAGAAAAGGTTCCTGTGTGCCTACTATGTTTCAGATACTAGATAGGTTTTTCAGAAAAAGTATATATGATAACGACTTCCCCGGAGTCATTAGCTTGTATTTCCTCCCATTGGCACATGTGTTCTCTTGTCCCAGGTGTCTCTCCAGTGGTCTTTGATGGCTGATGATCCTGAAGTTATACTTGACTGCCTGATGAACTTGGTACTACATCCCAAATTAGGAGAAAAGTTGGCATAACTGGCCTGGTTCATTAACTTGCAAGTCCTTAGATCAATGAAGTATAGTTCTTATTCATTTCTTTGGTTAATGTTTGTTGTAGTTGTAATTGTATGGTTCCACAGGCTAATGATTTTGCAAAGTGATCATTGTATTAACTCACCAGGTGCAAACTATTCCTCCATATCTCCCATATTCTTTACTGTATTGTGGTGGGGAAGTTGTATTACAAAATAGTTTGAAATGTTGTCACTGTCTGCGCAACTACTCTACAGTTTCTCTACATGAAGTGTTTATAGCAACATGTCTTGACATGAGAAATATCATAGGAAACACTGTGATCCTCTATGGAAGTTGAGCAAGCTGGACAATATGCTGTCAGAATGAGAGATGTTTTATGTATCTGCATCTGCAGAACCACAGACTTCTGTCCAGTACATGTGTATGTACACTATTAGAAAATGATTCTGTGCTTCTTGCAAACATCAGTGTAATGTAGTTTTCATTAACACCTCTTTTCTTGGAAAGTCAGTGATATGAGTTGATATATGTTTGTGACCAGCAGCTTTTAGAGTTTCTATGTGGAAAATTTCAGTCTGAACCACAACCCAATCTGAACCAGTTTGTCCCACGTGACGACTGCTCTGCTTACAATGCCAGAAACACCAGTTTGTGACAGACTGTTGTTGACTGCAGCTAAATGATTTTTGGGCCAGTCAGCACAGTAGGACCACCTCACTATCAATCTTTGTGCAATGCGGGGTCAGAGGACCTCAGAGAGTAAACAAAAAGCCCTTTTCTGTTTGAACTTTCAGTTCATTATTAGAAGTTAAGATGGGTGACAAGAATGTCAATCCCCAAGCCCCCGACATCCAGACATTTGTAGTTCTCAGAATGGGAGGGAAATCCCACAATGCTGGATATCTCCTAAACCAATGCCCGATGCTGTTCTACCTCGTCTCCAACAACCGCAGATGATCTCTTACTCTCAGAGGACATGGGAGGATCACACAAAAAATAGTAGACAGAGCTTTTTTGTTAACACATAATGATTAAAACAGTAGAGAGAAAAGAAAATTTCTCTTGAAGTCTAATTTAAAAAGCCTGTACCCTGTTTTTAAGTGCAGCTTTGGTCTCCTACTTGAATATTTTAAAGCTATATTTCACAGAAAATAAAGCACTAGTGAAAGTTGTAGTGCTTCAGATTAAAATGAGATGCCATAGAAATTTTCCAGAAATATTATTGTTGAATTATTGTGAAAAGAAAGACCTTTAACTAGAGCAGACACAAACAGAAATGACCCAAGAATACTCACACTTCGTGTTAATTCCCATTTACATCTTAGGTTACATCAACTACTTGAATTTTCTGCTGGATCAGAAGGGAAGTAAAACGGCACATGAAGTTAAAACCAGGATATCCAAGAAGACAGATGACTCTGTCCACATTGATTTCTGATGTGTCTTTGGGTAAGTCAAACAGGATGGTGAATCCCAACCAGCTTTTGTTGCAGTAATGCCTAATTAAAACTAATTATGTAAATTATTCCTGAAAAGGGGGATTATTCACATGTATTTAAGTTGAGTTGTGTGCTCCTCTGAAGAGATGGCTCTCTCTCCATTTACTACAGAAGAAAACTATGGGGTCACTTAGATAATTAGGCTTGTGCCTTCAGATATAGGTAACATGAATCTAGTTATTAGTTTTCTTTAAGTTCTAGTTTAGACTTTATTTTCTCTAAATCCATATGTTTAAAACATAGTTATTCTTCTTTCCTCTTGTCTTCTACAGCTGAGTGTTTAGCTCTTTGGAAATGGGACTGTCCCTCAACAAGTGCATGCAGTACCACACAAAAGAGAATTCCTGGAGGGTTAAAGCCCTGCTGTAGAGATAACCTCTTCTCTGACTCCTGTAATGGGTGATATTTGCCTTGCAGTCTGTAGTCCAGTGGTTACAGTACAGTCTAAGCTTCTGCTTCAATCAGAAGTGAATTTATTTGCTAGTGAATGTGACTAAAAATCAGGAAGAAAGGCTCAAACTAAAAAGAGTTAAGGTCAGCTTTCTCTTTTTTTTTTTTTTTTTTTTTAATCTCTTGTGTTGGAAATAACATAGTACTTACAGACACAGTAGGTCTCAACTGGCTCCAGACTGTGATGAATGTTTCATCTCATGTTGACAGAATAGGAGGATTCCAGCATCTCCTGAGATCCAGGGTAGGAATCTCATTAGGAATGTGTTTTTTGAGCAAATTTCTGTTTAGATCTTTTCCTGAAGTACTTATTGTTTTGAATATCACAGAGAAGAGAGAATATCTTCCTGCTCTGTCTGCTATCAACTCTGAGATCAGCAGGGCTTTAGTCACCACTAGCTGTGGGGAAACACCATGAACTGCAATAAGTTGTCCATATAAAGGACATATACATGCTCTGGCATAAACATGAGAAATCTTGTGGGAACATATCTGCCCTCAGAGCAGCCACTGGAGTTCCATCAGCCAGCAACCTCTGGTCTGCAGTTACTGGAGCATTCTTTAGAGTGAGCCTTCTGTGGGGATGAGTATTTCTTGGGCAAGAGAGAAACTTCATGAAAATTAAATATTTTTACCCCAAATCTACCTTTTTTAAAATATCTACATCCCCAGTTTGTTTCCTGAAGAACACCTGCACAGGTGTTTACACCTGCTTTTGCAGTGGGGCCCACACAGATAAAAGTGTAAGGTGAGCACAGTTTTGTGTGCCCCAGCAGCAGATACACATATGTGGCATCACCAGTGCCCAGCCGTCTAGATAGCAGGGAGCTACATCCCAAGTTTGATTTATTGTCTTTGTCACTTCTTCCTTTGTAGAGTATGGCATAATAAACACCATCTTTAGAGCAAGGGGTACCTTTTCATTCTTTGTCAGTCAACATCAATCACTGTGGCATCCCTATCCATGCGTGAAGTTTCTATACGTTACCCACAATGTAAATAGTAACTAAGAACAGTAAGTCACACCTGTCTGCCAGCAGCTGAGGTTTTAAGGGTGTTTATGTTTGTCGTTCATAAACAACTGTGGAATCCTCCCTTTTTAAATAGCACTTTATAAATCTCAAGTCATATACTTTCCAAAATTTTACTCATTAAAAAAAAATATTTTACAGTTTTAGCTATGAATGATGGCAACCATCCTTATCCTGAGTTGATCTGTAGATAAAAGTCTGAATACTATAGAGCTTGTAAGTCCTTGGGTAAGGACTAAGGACAACACGCACTGCATGGTCAGCTGATGCCACTGTCACAGTGATGATCCTTGAACCTTGCAGCAGCCCATGACATAAACCTGATGTAAACCATAAACCATGTCTTGGATGACCAAGACATCTCCAATTCTGCAGCTGCAGTCCTTAGGTACTCCTCTGTCAGGGGTGCTGTGTCCCGGTTTGCTTGTATGTTGGATGAAGTGGAAACACAGCATCCATGAACTCACAATGACAAGAGCCTGTTTTGGGCCAGCCCCACTTTGACTGAGCCAGTGCTGGTGCAGAACTGGAAGACATAAACTTCTTCAGGAAAGGAGAAAGACTGAAGGATCCTAAGCTTAAATTTGTCCAGAGGACACAGACCTGGCAGTGAGCTTAGGACTTATAACTGGCATAGATCCTGCCCCAGTCCTTGTATCAGCAAAAAATGAAGATACCATTGCTAAGATTATTGATACAGAAAAACATAATTAGATACATCTATTTTTATTTTTAATATTCTGACAGGATAATATAACAGCTGGAAGGAGGAAATCACATTGCCCAGTCTCAATAGTATTTATCATATGAGGAGCAGAAAAATATGGGCTACTTTTACTTAGCTGTTAGTTTCAAAACAAGCTTTTTGTGTAACATCAACAGCAATAATGAACAAGCTGAATAGCTGCATCTCATAATGGATGTTGCTATAGAAATTATGAAAATATGCTTGTTTTTAGAATTATAAGGAGTCCCAGGAACTTTTAGGTCCCTTCCAACCCAAGTCATTCTATGATTCTATGACACACAGGATAGTAGCAAAAAAAACCTCAAACAACAAAACACTCTCCTTAAGTGGTTCCATGACACTAGACAAAAATATGTGGGTCTGTTTATAATTCTTATCCCCAAAGCCACTCTGCTATAATTTACTTGTTTTCTAACACTTTACTTGGTCACTTCAAGCAAAGACCCTTAAACAATCAGGATACAAGTGTGAAGCTCCACTTACAGCTTGGGCTCAGGCAGCTCTTTAATAAGTTTTGCATTATTTACCCCATTGCTTCCATGGGAACCTCTATCTCTGCTGCTAGTAATTGAGAAAGGAAAGATTCAGAAAGTTCAGTGAAACCAGTTGATAACAGTGGCTGCAGGCATTTTATGTGGTCTAGATGAGACAGAACAAAGGGAGCTTTAGTGGAGACAGGATGGAAGAAATTGTAGTCTCTTGAAAATAAATCTGTAGATGTGAAGAAACAAGGTGCGTATTTTTAGTGTATTGGTCCCATCAGTCCATAAAGAGCAAAATTCAGGTGAAAGTACGTAGCACACTTATAATAGCTCCAGGCATTATTGAAACTGCCATATTAAGGGCAAAATTTACTTGACTGCATAAATTGCAAGCAATACAAAAACCCATGTGAAAGTAAGATGCAGCAATTCTTCCTTAATTTTGGCCAGAGCATGAAAAAACTGGACGTGGCTACACTCTTGGTTTTCCCTTGTAATATACTTTGTTTCTTGGGCTCTTAAGTGCCAGGATGCCACCTATGTGCATTATACTAGCTTCTGCTCCTTTATTGCCACACTAGGTGCATATTTTTTGCCCAGCAGAAATGAAGGTTGGGGCAAAGCTTCCTGAGGCTCTGTTTACCAGCAAGGCATTCAGTCCTACTAAAATTGTTACCAAATGAGGGAATGTTGCCACTTGAAGTATCAAAACAAATATATCATGACTTGTTAATAGACAAGGACAAATGTCACTTTAAGTGTATTTTATTAACAGAAATATATATAAGTGAAAAAAGGGATCCATTGACTGAATCCTTCCATTAAATTAAAAGAAGGAAATTTACTTTTTCTCAAGGGCAACTTCTTAGATTTGTAAAGTTTATTTGTTAATTTGTATGGTACACATTTGTAATCTAGAATTTTAAAAAGCATTAATTTTATGAAGCATTAATTATAATATAAAAATTTGAAACCACTGTTCTTGATGCTGAGTTTGTTCTTGTAACATTCCTGAATTAATCCTACCGGGATTAAAGGAAACTGTGTTAGTTTTTGAGCAAAATCATGACAATTTTCTAGCAGAAACTAGTGGCTAAGTTCTGGGGAATTATTTGACTTTTGTCTTCCTGGAAATTCTCAACTTTGACAGGCTCAAAAACTATTTAAACTACTGTCTCTTTTAAAGCAGCACTTCAAAGAATATATTTGGCAAATGCAGTTTGATTCTTTTGTTAGCACATGGAGTGATGACCATTGCATGCTGGTATTTTTGATGGTGGCTTGGCATGTTAATGTTGTTCAGCCATGAAACTAAGGCAAGATATTGCAGTCCTACCCTATTCTATTGCTGATAAGATGGGAAGATGAAAGCAGGAATGCAGAAGCTCAGGGATTTGGGGATTTGTTCCTATGTTGTGTGGCTAGGTCATGTTGCTAAAAAGGGAGTAAAACACCAGTGAGAAGAGTGGAACTACTGTCTTCAACTCCAAGCTGAATCACTGTGTAAGTGTCCCTATTGCTCATTGCCAGGTAGCTTTAGAAGTCCATTACCAGGGCAAAGGGAATCACAGAACACAGGTTTACATTGAATAAAAGATTACTGATGAAAGACTTTCCACATATACTATAAACTTGCTTTCAAAGTGATTTGCAGTAAAACTTGAGTGGAATGCTGCTGTTGAGTGCAGCTGTCATAGAGAAGATGATGGTATTGGTTCTGGAAGGGGATAGCTGGACTGTTAAGTGAAATTTAACCAACTGCTGATGTCCCTGGCTGACATGAAGGAGAGTAATTTAGTCTGGAGTCAATGAATCTCATTTATATCTGGGTGAAGTAGATTGAGGCTTTTGAGATTCCTTTCTCTGAATTGTTCAAAAATCTGACCAAAAATAAAACCTTAATTTTATTACCTTAAGAAGTCCACTGAACTTTGCAATTCAATTGTCCTTTTAGCAAAATGTGCTAACTGTATCTGCTTGCCTCCCTGAACAGTTGTGAGAATAAATTTTTGTTCCTAAACAGCTTGCAAGCTGAAAAGGGATGAAAAAGGGAACAGTTAATGTTAACTTTTAGGAAAAGGAGAGCAGAAAGAGGAAAAGGTTATAGGTATGCTTTTTACTGCTTCCTCACCCAATATAGCAGTCACTTCAAAACAAAAGAGGACAGGCACATGAAAACAATTCTGAGACACTTCTGTCAGGATTTACAGTGCAGGCCAGTACTGCAGCAATATCTGCTCATGTGTCTTAAGGATCATCTCTCATCATACAGAAAATACACACGAAAGTGGGGGTTGACTTACAAGCACAGGAAGAGAAGGCTAATAATTTGCTGTTGCTTAATATGGGCTCAGGCAGTATTCTTCCCAGGCGTTCTTGAACACACCCTGGTACCTGGGAACACTTTCGTATGGAATGGTTATGAAATACTGTGGCTGATGTAGTTCTGATAAGAAGCTGTAGCAATATTTATAAACTGCTGAGCTCTATAGATAGCAATACACTTGGTAAAAGGAAATAGGACATGGTTGATTCACCTGTGCAATTAGTGAAGCAAGTCTCTGCATGTTCATATACTCTTGTACAACATAGAAAGACCCTATTGGCACTTGGGCTCATCAAAATGCCATGGAGATAGTAAAGTATCAGAAGGCACTGGACAAAACTAAAGAGCTTAGAATGCACTGCCTTCTTATAGTAAAGTTCTCTAATAGCTGTACTGCTGCGTAAATAATTACAGCACTGATAACTCTTGATATGAATGGTATACATTATTCTCAAGT